AACAAAAGGAGTTGTACAGCAAAATAAACTTTAGATCTTGATCAAATTTTGGAAGATCAGTGATTGGAGGGGGTGCCTCCAGGCCTCAGCAAATTGTCCTATTGGTTTGAGCCATAAAGATAGTTCAAGCTGGTACCGAGCACGGATAGGAGATTTGTCAAAGGTCAGGAGCGCGCCTACCCAGAATCCCTTTATGGTTGCCAAAATGTGAGCACTGAATATCTGAGAACGGTCTTGTTTAATTTGGAAAGCTTATTTTGCCAAGATTGAGGATGCACACCTGTGACACAGCCTCAGGAGGTCCTGATGACACGTGCCCAAGGTAGTCAGGGCACAGCTTGGTTTTATACATTTTAGGGAGACATGAGACATCAATCTATATATATAAGATATACATTGGTTCTGTCAAGAAAGGTCAGACAGCTCAAGCAGCCAGAAGGCTTCCAGGTCACAGGTAGGTGAGAGACAAATGGTTGCATTCTTCTGAGTTTCTGATTAGCCTTTGCAAAGGAGGCAATCAGATATGCATTTATCTCAGTGAACAGAGGGATGACTTTGAATAGAATGGGAGGCAGGTTTGCCCTAAGCAGGTCCCAGCTTGACTTTTCCCTTTAGCTTAGTGATTTTGGGGCCCCAAGATTTATTTTCCATTCACTCTGTGTGTGGGTGGGGGGAGGTGTGGGGGTGTGGGTGTATGTATATGTATATATATGTATGTGTATATACACACACAAATAAACAAATTGAAAAATCTCATTAAGTACAGCAAGTCATATGGTATTTTTAACTTGCCCTATTCTATTCTCATCCCCTCCTCACTGGCTCCACTGCAGCCTTGCAAATTAACAGCCCATAATTACAGTGAGGACCAATAGCCCGGCAGCCACTGGAAAGACAGAACAGGGCTCGATTTCCTTCAAAGCCTCATTCCCAGAGAACTGTCATTTGACTTGGCTGGTGGTTTTCAGAAACATCCCACTGCCAGGATGTCTTTATTTGTCCTAAGAGCTCACTTAATGCAAACGTTTTTTCCTTAGGGTATTTGTCAAAAACATTTAAAGGCCGTTATTCAAGTTGGTGCCTGTATGAGGTTGTACATAACATTTTGGGCAGACAATAGGCTAACCAAAAAGCTTTAAAAGAAAAGCAGGAGAATGAGATGTCCATAAGGGCTTTGAAAATTCCAACTGAATGATTCCTGGGAATCTGTGAGGCTACTCCCAAGTGTAGGGCTGCGTACATGTTCAGTAAAGACCTGGGAAGGCTCAAAGCTCTCACCTCTGACTGACCTTGAGGCTCTGGGCAAGCAGGAAGTGAAGGCTAAGGCAGAGATGTAAACTGCCTGGCTGAGTATTGAAGAGTAGCCCCAGACTACAAAATTATTTCAGAAAGCTCATTAAACACTGAACAACAATAACAAACAGCAGCAACAACAGCAACAACAAATAGTGGGTATAGAATCTGATTTCCAGAGTTGTCACATTAGATCAGGGGTCCCCAACCCTGTGGGCCATGAACTAGGTCCATGGCCTAGTGAGGAACTGGGCCACACAGCAGTAGAAGCAGTGAGCAAGCAAGCAAAGCTTCATCTGTATTTACTGTTCTCCATCACTTGCATTACTGCCTGAGTTTTGCCTGCTGTCAGATCAATGGTGGCATTAGATTCTCATAGGAGCACCATCCTTATTGTGAACTGAACGTGTGAGAGGTCTAGGCTGCATGCTCCTTATGAGAATCTGATGCCTGATGATCTAATGCACTTCCCCTGCAGTGTGCATCTGTCACTATCTCCCATCATCCCCAGATGGGACCGTCTAGTTGCAAGAAAACAAGCTCCGGGCTCCCACTGATTCTACTTTATGGTGAGGTGCATAATTATTATATATTACAATGTAATAATAATAAAAATAAAGTGCACAATAAATGTAATGTGCTTGTGCTGGGTGCCATTGCTCACGCTCGTAATCCCAGAACTTTGGGAGGCCAAGGCAGGTGGATCACCTGAGGTCAGGAGTTTGAGACCAGCCTGGCCAACATGATGAAACCCCGTCTCTACAAAAAAGACAAAACTTAGCCAGTTGTGGTGGCCGGTGCCTGTAATCCTAGTTACCTGGGAGGCTGAGGCAGGAGAATTGCTTGAAACCAGGAGGTAGAGATTGCAGTGAGCCTAGATTGCACCACTGTACTCTAGCCTGGGTGACAAGAGTGAGATTTTGTCTCAAAAAATAATAAATAAATAAATAATTAAATATATGTAATGTGCTTGAATCATTCCAAAACCATCTCCCCTATACCCCTAGTCCATGAAAAAATTGTCTTCCATGAAACTGGTCCCTAGTGACAAAAAGGTTGGGATGAACTAATTTACACTCCCACCAACAGTATATTAAGTCTTCCTGGCTGGGTGCAGTGGTTCACACCTGTAATCCCAGCACTTTGGGAGGCCGGGGCGGGCAGATCACTGAGGTCAGGAGTCGCCAAGGTCAAGACCAGCCTGGCCGATGTGGCAAAACCTGGTCTCTACTAAAAACACAAAAATTAGCTGGGCGTGGTGGCATACACCTATAATCCCAGCTACTCGGGAGTCTGAGGCAGAAGAATTGCTTGAACAAGGGAGGCAGAGTTTGCAGTGAGCCGAGATTGTTCCACTACACCCTAGCCTGGGCGACAGATCTAGACTGCTTCTGAAAAAACAAAACAAGCAAACAAAAAACAAACAAACCAGTGCATTTTCACTTGCATCCATGTGAAGAGGCCACCAAGCAGGCTTTGGGTGAGCAACAAGGCTGTTTATTTCACCTGGGTGCAGGTGGGCTGAGTCCAAAAAGAGAGTCAGAGAAGGGAGATAGGGGTGGGGCCTTTTTATAAGTTTTGCATAGGCAAAGGAAAATTACAGTCCAAGGGGATTGTTCCTTGGCAGGCAGGGGTGGGGGTCACAAAGTGCTCAGTGGGGGAGCTTTTGAGCCAGGATGAGCCAGGATGAGCCATGAGAAGGAATTTCACAAGGTAGTGTCACCAGTTAAGGTAGGGACCATTTTCACTTCTTTTGTGGGGGAACCTCATCAGTTAAGACAAGAACAGGCCATTTTCATTTCTTTTGTGATTCTTCACTTGCTTCAGGCCATCTGGGCGTATAAGTGCAGGTCACCCTGGATATGATGGCTTAGCTTGGGCTCAGAGGCGGCATACACCTGTAATCCCAGCTACTCGGGAGACTGAGACAGGAGAATTGCTTGAACATGGGAGGCAGAGGTTGCAGTGAGCCAAGATTACACCACTACACCCCAGCCTGGGCGACACAGCAAGACTATGTCTGAAAAAACAAATAAAAAACAAAGAAACAAACCAGTGCATA